CTAGCCTTAATCGAAAGTTCTCTTGCATTATCGAGAGGGGTAATTAAATGTAGGGGCTTGTGCCTATAGGAAATCATAACTCAGATCATAAAGTCTTTGCAAAAGAGGGCGAAATTGTGCCTATAGGAAATCATAACTCGGATCATAAAGTCTTTGCAAAATGAGGGCGAAATCTCTTGGCAGTGTCTTATTCAAATCCAATATGCCTTATGAAAATTTGCATATGAACTTAAAAGTCAAAGCTCTCCTCAACGATTCGAAGAGGAAAAGAAAAGGGGTCTGCTAAGAAGATGGGGGGTGAATTTTCGGAGCCCACAAAAAGTGACAAATTTAACTATAATTATGCATTAGTAACTTGCGAATTACGAATTTTTTGGTGTCTTCATCTTGTATCTTGTTCTAAGGTTCTATTAGAAACTCTAGAACGGTAGTCGGCTTACATAATTCTATTTTTATAACTCTAGACCTTTGCCCCCATGTAGCAGGATAAAGACTCGTTGTATGAAAAAAACAATAGTTCATGTGAAATCTATCCTGAAAATGCATGATCCCTATTATATTGGATGTTACTATTCCTTCCTGAATTATTATGTTTCAGCCTATTTGAAATTTGTTATGAAAAACATCTGCAATGATCTGATTAACATATCATGACAGAGTGCAGTATAATCTGACATAGGCCTTGCAGATGCATAAATAGATAACTAATTTTTCTATTATTGACGTGGAAGGTCTTCTGGATCTTCTTATCGTAGAACTAATTTATTTTGAGACTTTTTTATTTTCTTTCCGAAATGGTCTTTGAACTATTTGAATGCATGATTTTTGTCAATTTCTTTATGGTTCATATTGCAAACAGAGATCTAAGGAGTTCATCTGATAGGAATCAAAGTAAAAGGTTAATGCGTTGAACAAATTTTCCTTCTATTTTAAACCCAATCGTGGAGCTTAGGATCATCTTGATCGCTTGGTTGTAGGGGTTGGTGGATGCCGCTACTTCAGGCAACCAGAATTTCATCTGCTAGACAGTTTCAACAGGAAATCTCAAGACCAAGTAGCATTTCACAAGCCCATCGGGGATTTCTTTTCTTTTCTTTTCTTTTCTTTTGTTTAGGAGGGGCATTATAAAGAAATTTGTTTTTATGACCTAACTCCAATCCACGTAGATATCCTCCACCCATATTTAAATTGAGTAAATGAGGCTCGTCGACCTCCCCTTGTTGGTCTTTTTGGAGGCTCCAACTCTGTGTTTGTGGTCACTTCCTCTATTCTCCAACTCCTTCCATGTTAATTTTTGCTAACCTACTGATCCCTAGTCGTGAATAAAGTGGGGCATGCCAGTTAACCCTATCGGGTAAATCAGTGGAGTAAAGCCTAAACTAGTAGGGGCATATAGTGTTTGATCCACTCATACAATAGCTCATCGCAGTGTACCACTTTTTTTTTTTTGACCGATTTTTCTTTTGTAGTAGTGTTTTTAAACCTTTACCCGTTTTTTCTCCATGTTTTCTTAATTTTAATTTTGTCATTAGAAATGTTTATAGGTTTTGTAATGATAAAAAAAATTCAAACATTTGGCTTCAACTCGTTAGAGATGAGGATGCTTAGGTGCAGAATATTGGCCATTAACAGGAACTTTTTTTCGGTCCGGTGAACGTATGTTCCTCTACGTTCGGCCACCAATGTATTAGCGCCACGTAGCATGAAGAAAAGTCGCCGACCCGACCCGCTGTATTTTGGGTTCTCGCATGTGCGGATTTTTAAATGCTTTTACCTTTTGGATATATTTCAAATCTTTAACGGCGAATCGACTCCCTGTCACTATTCACTTCCTTCGTTCGTAGTTTTCTAGCATTTACCGTGAAATTGAAGGAATTCTCCGGCCGAAAACCTTCGCTGATAAAATGCATGAGGTTAGATATTAATGGCGAATAACTTTCCTTCTTATCATATTGTTTATCTCGTTTGAAATATAAAAAAAAGTATGTTTAGGGTTAGGGTTAACTTTGTATCTTTCGGTTTTAGTATACAAAACGGAATGACAACTATCAGGATGTTGAATTCAATTATTTTTGGTAGTTTATAAAACTCGGTACACATGATGAAACTCGGTACTAATCGGTATTCGGTGCTGTTCGATGTTTCTAGGTATAGGTCGGTACACGTCGGTACTGGGGATTTTTCAGATCAGATGCTCGATATTTACAAAAAATATTTGAGTATTTCATGTTCTTTAATGCTAGGTTTTTTTTTGTCATTCCGTTTGTTCGGGTGATGATTAGTGCATCTCGGTACAAATAGGTATACCTCGGTATAACCCTTTATTTAGTGATTTAGGATCAAATCTCGAGATGCACACTAAATATACTAAGTATTATATATATAAATTATGTTTTGGTGGAACTAGTTATACTCGGTATAACTCGGTACAACTCGGTATTTTCATTAAATATATGAAAATTTTATATGTAATCTATTGATATATGGTGTTTTTTAGTATTTGGTACAACTAGTTATGAGGTTGTGTGTTTCTACCGAATTTTTCACCGTCCATATTCCATCTTCACTAACAGAAAATCTCACCATAGCAGGACATCCAGTTATTGTAGTTGATTTTCGAAATTTAACCTTCTGAATTTTTTCTGTGTCCTTCTTGAATCTAGATTTGGAACAGACAAAAACCTTTGATTTTAATTTCCTTGAATTAGGCCAGTATGAAAGATGTTCTTTCCGAACACTAAAGCCATGCGCATGTGCGTATTGGCAATATTTAACATATGCTTCCTTCTTAGATTTGTAAACCCCCTGTGAAAAAAAATTCCAATATTATGAATGTGTTCCACGGAATAATTACCTAACAATACACGAAAATACCGAAGTGTACCGAGTTTTCTGACGAGTCGGTACAAACATATGGTTTTTATAATCGGTATATAGTAAACTAGTCTGACAGAAAACAAATAAGAAAACTTAGCATACCGAGTTTTACGTATAAATACCGAACTATTCCGATTTTAATAAAACTCGGTACAAAGATATTAAAATTAAAATCTCGGTATATACAGAACAGAATTGACGTAAAGATACGAAAAACTTATCCATACCGAATTATACGTATAAATACCGAGTTATACCTAGTTCTCAAAAAACTCGGTACAAGTTCTTCATAATTATAATATCGGTACAAAGACCAATTCCAAATAATAAGAATAAATCTCGAGCAGTACCTAGTTATAAAAAGGCTTGTTACAAAATTATCATAATTATATTTCCGGTACAAATATACATACCGATTATTACATATAATACCGAGCAGTACGGAGTTATTAGAAGGTTCGGTACAAACAAAAATGATTTGATCAGACGAAGATGGATGAGAAATTACTTGTATAAAATAAGAAAAATCGTCATGCAGAGTATAAGTGTCAAAAGTTTCGTCGAAATCGTCATACTCTTCCAAAGTAATAGAAGGATTCTTCTCATCCATCGCCTTAAACGCTTCGCGAAACTTTTTTTCTTCTACCTGTAAACCCTAAATACTGTATAACGTTCTGTGTACATAAGCTAATCGGCCAAATGTTTATTCATCTAAAGTAATCGCGGGTTTTAAAGTTTTCCCGCCCGTTTCAGCCAAATTAGTGAAAAGAGACGTAAAAAATCGTAATTACCACGGGTTTGGGTCGGGTCTTCGGGCTGCTACGTGGCGTAAAGATATTGGAGGCCGAACCTATAGCAACATTCGGTCAGAGGACCTAATAATTGTTCCATTAACAGAGAAGCATAATACTTAGTTAAGTGTTGTAGAGATGAGGATGCTAAGGGGCATGAGTGGATTTATCCTTAGAGATAGGATACGAAATGAGCATATACGTAAAAAAGTTGGAGTAGCTCCAGTGGAAGATAAGATTAGATAGAGTAGCCTTAGATGGTTTGGTCACCAAAAACGATGGCCTTCCGATGGCCCGATTAGGAAAATAGAGGTATTAGTTTTGACTTATATTAAGAAAGGTAGAGGTAGACAAAAAGATTTGGTTAGAAAATATTAGAAATGATATTTATTTATTAGATTTAAAAGAGAATTTGACTTTTGACATGACACAATGGAGAAAAATGATTCATGTAGCCGACCCCACACAGTGGGACAAATGCTTGATGTTGTTGTTGTATTAGGTTTCAACTCGTTCTATAATGACTTTGATGATTTAGACATATACAAAAATAATAGAAAATGCATTTAATAGAAGTGTGATTACTTTTTGTTTTAGAAAGCTTATTTAAGAAGCAGTAAGAAAGTCGTCCCAAATGAAACCTTAATGTCATATGAATAGAAGTTGTGCTAATTATTTGCAAACAATAAGCTTAACTTAAATAATACTTAGCATGAATAAATGAGAAAAGTGGATTCTTAAAATTGATCTTAAGTAGTTGGATAAGACTAATGATGATGATGATGATGATGATGTCATTAAAAAAAAGGCAAACTAATGATGTATATTGATTGTTGATTTACACTGATCTTGAACAATTTTTTTTATATTTTTATTTGCTGATAATTTGTAGCATGTAATTTTGATATCTCTTAAAATTGATCTTGTCGTCAACTGAGCTCACAACAAATTTTAAAATAATTATGTGCGGATACGGACACCGTTCGGAGGCAAATCAGAACGCGCCACATCATTTTTGCTAGTTCTGATTCGCCTCCGAACGGTCTGATGTCCGCACAGAATAATTTCTCCAACAAATGAGATGTCCCTGCAATATTTCTTCTCCATAGTAAGCCATCACTGAGATTGAATGAAGTAGATACATGAAGATAAGCAGCTTGATATTTTATACTAATATGCGAATAAGTTCATTATGCATAGACTGGATGGATGGTTGCTCTGTCTTTCTTATATTTATATTATTTACTCCATTTTCTTGCATCTATATATAATCTTATTGTCCCCCATGATCCATCTCAAGCACTTAATAGTACCCTTTATGTTCTGATACAGATCCATGGCAGCAGGTCTCAATCCCAATCCCAACAGTCTTTATCTCAACATCATCTGGATCATACGCACTGGAACAGATATTACAGGTACTTCTGGATCATTTCTACGACTAGTTTGTCACAACTCATAGTGTATTAACTGTGTAAATGATGATCAAATGATGACTTTGAGGTTAGTTATTTTACTATCCTTTCTCTGAGGATTTTGAGAATGAAAACAAAAATGAAACTGTTTGTAAAGACCAAAATGAAAAAGATTAACTTTATACAGTATACATACAACTAATTATAAAGGTAGTAATGAAAATAATATTATAAATTTGTTAAGAATATTTCATGTTCGAGTATGAAAGTATAATGTTTCATGGTACTGTTATGAAATAGGAATTAGGCACAAAGACATTCATCCTTTTTTTTTTGGGTAAACAAAGACATTCATCCTAATTATAAAGGAACACTTTGATGTGATATTTACAACCACATTCTAAACTTTAGTGGGTGGTAGGGGAAGACAAGAACCATGATTTAAAAAGAAGACAAGACATCTCAGTTCAATAGGACCAAATTGTTTGAGCCTATTCTACCTCATATTAATTGTCAGTGGACCCATTGCAACACACTCCTAGTCTCCTAGATGGAGATGGTAGATTCCTCCTCTTACAAGAAATTCTCTCTCTCTCTCTCTCTCTCTCTCTCTCTCCCTCTTTACTAACTCCTTAGCTTTTGACTATTTTCCTCAGTAGCTATATCTCTAGCTGAGCTTTGGGAATTGATCTAACAATAGGTTGGGTTACCTAATTAATTTTATGGATGCCTCAACCATATAATAATTATATATATATATATATATATATATATGATATTTATATTTAAAATTATTCTGTTGATTATTAAATAGAAAATACTTTCAGACAGGTACTAAAGTAAATAATGATAATTGAAAGATACATAAAAGTTAACAATAAAAATTAGTTTAATCATTCTAATTTTATTAATAGTTTATAAATTAGATTAAAATTAGCTTAATCATTCAAATATTATTAATAGTTTATAAATTAGATTTTGGCTTTGTTTGGAGCATTTTTCTTACTACTTTTTAAAGACATTAAATTTCATTAATATTAATCATTCTAATATTATGAATAATTTATAATCCTAAATAAATTTTGATGCATTGATTAAATATATTTTTTTCTCAATTCTTGAAGTCATGCATTTTAATAATTCTACTGATATTAAATAAAATGTATATTTTTAATCCTATTTTTAACTATTGATAACTCAATATACAAATAATTTAAATGATATTGATTTTTTTTGCATAATATTAAATTTTTAATTCAAATAAATGAACTAAAAATTAACCTACTAAGGCCCAACATAGTCACACTTATCTTAGACTTGCTGACCACATAAAAATCCCACTTTACAATGAATAAATGTTTTTCCCAAAAAAAAAAAAAAAAAATAATTGTGATAATACTATAATATAATATAAATAATTATATATATATATATATATATATATATATATATTATATATAATATATAATATATATTATATATATATATATAATATTATATATAATTTCCCATCAATAACATAGAATTAGGAAATGACATTTGCCTATATGTCCCTTGCTAGAGACCCTGCCTATTAGTCTAGCAAATGTTCCTGTGCAAGATTCCTGACAATAATTTAAGTAAGAAAACATACAGCATTGATTGGATGAGAAAGCTATGAAAGACCATCAGCTTGTTAAGTCTTCTTAAGCAATCATCTTCTTAATTCCAAAATCCTATTTGTCAATTCCCTATGAAGCTTTCCTTTCAAGTCATTAATGCTTCTCATCACATTCATGAGAATATGCACACAGTTCAGAGCCACAACTTTGCTCTTCTTACTGCCATTATTGTATAATTGTTTAAGAGCAAAGATACATTGATTGAGATTTCCAATGCTTTGCAATTAATCCTAAAAAAAAGGAAGACTATTGAGTTATTGGCTCGTAAGTTTTCTTTTGACTATTTTTATAGCTCTGATAAGCATTAGTGAGCTAAATATTTCTTATAAGGACTTTGTAATCTTTTTTTATTACTAACTTTGGGGACCTCCATGAGTTATATATATATAATATATATATAATATATAATAATATATATATATATATAAGAGGAGGATTTCTTATAAGGCTATGTTCTTCTTCTTAAAGAACTATTTTAAATTTTTTTTGTAGGGTTCTTTGGTAATAACATTATTTAAACAAATATTTTCTTAGCTCACAAATCATTGTTGGTTGCCCAAGTTACATATTTTTTATATTGTGAGTGATTTTATGTGCTATAACTTTTTTTAAGGAATATAAATTTTATCATTTAGTTTATTTAAGACATAAGTATATATCATATATTTTATTTTAAGTAACAATTAAATGATGTGAGAATAATACAAATATGTGAAATATATATATATATATATATTAAATATAAAATATACATAAATACTAAATATATTATATAATTTTAAATTAAAGCAAACATTTATATTCCAGTAACAAGCATTTTTCTTTTGTCATAATCGAAATGGAACCGAGAAGGTAAATGGTCAATCAGCGAAAGGAAGAAAGATTGGTAAATTTAACTTATAAATTATTTATATTAAGATCATTTTTTAGTCAATTAAATTAAAAAAAATGATGATAATTTGATCATGAAATGAATCAAACAGTTCAATTAAATCTTCCAGTTCCAGTTCTTTTTTATTCTTGGTAAAAGCGATTTAGGCGGCGAATCAAACCAATCGAGAAACTTGTTCACCATTAAACCGGTCAGACCAGCCGGTTCAATCCAACTTTCTAACCTTTGATTGCTAGTTGAAATTGAAAATGCTATTGAAAAAAAAAAAAAAAGAAGAAGAAAATTTAGCTATTTGTTCATAAATAAGAAGTGCAGGCTTTGAAGAATGGGGTGATAATATTTTTTATATTGTATGGAAAAGCTTGGGAAACCATGAACTGAATGCACGAGGGTCATGCATCAGCTTATTTTATGAATTTAGAAGTCTATTAATGTCCAAACAGTTCACATTCATTAAAGTTACACAAATGTGGATACATTTACTATGTTTTATATATTATATTACAACTTGGTTATCTGTTTATTTGCTTTATATTTTTACTGGATCATTGAAAAAGATTATTTTTTCATTGCTTTTTAAATTAGTTTTTTAGTGCATAAATTAAAATTTATGTTCTAGAAAGTTATTTTAAGAAGCAGTAAGAAAATCGTCCCAAACGAAGCCTATTTTTAATATCTAATTGAGAATAATTTTTGGATGTAAAGCATATGTCTCAGACTAGGCAAATTATTGTGTCCGGATTCGTCCGGACACCAATAAAAACACGCCACGTCACTCAAAAATATCGGGGCCCAATGCATTCGGGTGAGGTGGCGTGTCCGGATTGGATGTCCGCATGTCAGGTGACCGGACGCAATAATTTGCCCTCAAACTATGTATTTTAAAGAATTGATTGGACATCTTTCTTACTGCTTTATAAAGCAGCTTTTTAGTATTTTTTTTAATAAAGCTTTTTGTATTATAAAGCTGCTTTAGAAAGCAAGAATAAAGTTGTTCCAAACAAAGGCTCAATTTTACTCAAATGTATAAAAATTATAGGGTTTATAAGCATTAGAGACTATTTAAAACCCCTTCACAAGTGTGGAAGGGCATACTGTCTAGTCTGGTTGGCTAAGTTGTCAAAATAATTAGTTAATTAACAACATAAATCATACCATTAAACATCTAATTATTTGATTATAAATAGGCTGACCACATGACTACCCAAAATCTCAAATTCTAGTTATGTTCATTTAACAATCGTTAATGAGTTAATTATTCTATTGCTGTCATGTTAATTAGGAATAGGCTTTTTATTTTTTATTTTTCATTACTTTGAAATTGTTGATATATTTACTTATTTTTTATTCCCAAATTTAGTTATTCTTTTGCTCTTTCTTTGCCCTTAAAGAAACAATGGTAAGAGGGAGATATTGATAGCTAGGATATACTATTTGCAAATTTTTTTTACTTTAATTTACTTATATTGGGTCAGTGCATACAGTTTTCATTATTAGAGTGCTTCTGTGCTTATATAAAGATTAATATAATTGATATATTTACCAAAAAAACCACACAATTTAGCACGAATATTAAGGTAAAATTGGAATTAGAAACTTCTGAAATTAAATTTGAAATCTTAATTATAAACTCCAATTTCAAGCTTATGGTCGATCTGAACATCTCAATGAGGCGAGCCCAACGGTGCATAAAGTGATCCAATTTGAGCCTAAACGAGCTCAAATCAAAGACTTGAAGTATGAATGAAAATTTCAAACATTAATTGGATGATCATGATTTCCAAATCAAACATGCTTATAATCGAAACGAGCAGCTCGATCAGACGATGAATCCATCGAGCCCAAGATCACTCAATCATGTCATTCTTAGGACACTTAAATACTGAATAAAACTTGGTGATCAAAGGAATCAATATGGACCGTATGATAGAATGTTTTGGATTCTAGGTCAAATTATCAAAATGCTTATTCAAAGAGCCTATAAATAGAGCCCCATTCTTTACATGAGAGAATAGGAAGAATAGGGAGAACTCTTTCGCATTTTTTAGCCAGTTATTACCGCCGACCACTACTGTTTTAACAAATAATTTTTATGATATAAAAAATGAAAAAAAAAAAAATCATGAAATAGATTTGATATGTCTTTATTCAACCTGACAATATTAGGAGAATTAATATTTTCCTTATGAAATTTGAGAAACAAGAAATGCATTGTCCTCAATAGGATAATAAATCTTATATCAAAAAATAAACTTTATTGTACCATTTGAATCATATAATTATATATATTATTACCACAATCATTTATTTGAAACTTTTATTCATAAATATAATTGATATGAGGGTGTGATAGAGTATTCCATGAACTTGATGCCTCTCACTATTTGGGAACAGAAAGCTTTAATAGAAAATTTATTTTTATATTGTGACAGAAAACTAACATCTTTGAATGTACTCCTCACGCATTAAATGTTCTGTAACCATACAGTACTAATTTATAATTTTATATATGCTACAAAATAAAGATAAGATGTTATAAAACTTTTTTTTTTTCTAAAATAATTTTCATTCCTTTATTTTGTTAATATTTTCTTATAAAGTAATAAAGATTCAATCTTAGGGCAATATAAATTTGACCTACCTAAGATT